TTCAAGAGAAAGAGAATGAACACTTTTTAAGAGAAAGAGAAAGAAAATGAATTTATTTTTTTATTTTACTTTACATTCTGGGATATATGTGAAGAACGTTCAGGTTTGTTACATAGTTATACATGTGCCATGGTGGTTTGCTGCACTTATCAACCTGTCATCTATGTTTTCAGCCCCGAATGCATTAGGTATTTGTCCTAATGCTCTCCCTCCCTTCCACCCCACCCCGCTACAGGCCCCAGTGTGTGATGTTCCCCTCCCTGTGTCCATGTGTTCTCATTGTTCAACTCCCACTTAGAGTGAGAACATGTGGTGTTTGGTTTTCTGTTCCTATGTTAGTTTGCTGAGGATGATGGTTTCCAGATTCATCCATGTCCGTGCAAAGGACATGAACTCATCCTTTTTTATGGCTCTGTAGTATTCCATGGTATATATGTGCCACATTAAGAAAATGAACATTTAAGTGCCACCTATGTGCACAGTTGGCACCATAAGAGTTACAGGAGTGTGTAGCTCTTGTAGACTCAGTACAGCTTACTGAAGAAAGTAATTCACTTTGCAAATGATACCTCATGTAATCCTCACAAAAATAATTTGAGGTATTATCCCTTTTTTTGCAGATGAAAAGATTGAGCTCATATAGGTTACAAAATTCATATAGTGTCATGCAGCTAAATTAGAGAAAATGTCAATATTTAAACCCAGGTCCCTTCCTCTAAACCTCTTTCTTTCTATTGGCATACACTTCTAACCTCACAACTCCCAATATTTACATAAGTGCTTTATATTCATAATCTAGGAGGTTAAAATTAGGCAATGCAGTTACTTGCATTGTTTTGGCCATTGTATTTTCATACACCCAAATATTAATTATAAGCGCTTTTTCTTACAGTTCTCTTCATTACACAGTAGCCAAAATAGATAAAATGTGCTTACCCTTGCAACTCTCCCATCGGGCTTCCCTACACATTTGTCTGTCTCGCCCAAACATTCAAAATAGGGACAGGGACATCAATAAACACACTCCTTCTACTCATGCTTCCTCTCTGCTTCCTCTTAATGGAACCGTTGCGCCTCCAGCTAGGGAATCAGTTCATCTGGTCTATCCTAGCGTTTCCAGACGTTTCAAAGCTGTGCCTCCCCAGGACTTCTTTGGCACTCCCAGAGCACTGTCACCACCTCCCTTCCAAGACAGCTCCCCAAGGGTCCTTTGTAGCCTCTCAGGCAGTCTATGTGGCACTCCCTGCAAAGTTCCGTCATGAGTTGACTGGGCTGAGGTCCCTGGTATTTGAGAGAAAATTAAATGGTCTTAACGATCATCTGCATATCAGATGAGATGTCAAGGAAGCAAGGACCTCAGACCGCAGTGTCTTTGCACTTAAGAGATAAATATCTTTCACTAAGTCACATTTCAATACCATGACTCTAGGGTTAGTGGTGAGGGAATATTGGAAATGGTTGTGTGAGAACTCTGTTTGCTGCTTCCCTTTTGATACTGAATACCTTCTATATTACGATCCATGCAATAAATCTCTTCTAGAATTTCTTCCCAGGAATAATTTTGTCTCCCTTCAAGGATAGTTATGTTTTATTTATCAGAAAAAAGCTGTTTCACCCTCATATGTCCCTTTTTGCCATAGCTGCTAGCAAGCTCAGGATTTAAATTTAGTGCTCAATTACATTGATTATGTCATTTTCAGTTTCTGGGGAAAAAAAATTATCCTCCCTTTTCTCCTCTATGATTTCTGAGCTCTGGAGGCACTGGAAATTTAGAAAAGGGTCCATGATATCTTTTTGCTTGAATACCAATGCTTTTTGGAAATTCTCCTGGATGTCTGTTGGTGATTAAGGAAGTTAAATCCAGCTATATCACACCCTTTCTTCTCTCTTATGGATTCTTACTAATTGAGAAGGATATCAGAACCCGTTACATTATCGGTATTATTACACAAGGCACTGGGGTTCCTAATAAATACTGTTGGGTAATGCATCTTATATACAAAGTCATATTTTACCTACACTTCTAGCACAAATTATCCAAATCTGGTCTTTAGGAGTCAGTCAGCCACACAGAGGATCATGGCTTAATCCACTTCCTATTGATGACCAGAGAGAGGAAGTCAAAGAGAGGCAGCCTCCTGGACAGACTCTAGAACAGTACGCTAAGCCATGGCCCAGCAACTTCTCTAGGAGACCTAATAGCAGAGGTGCTGCTGAGGCCAGGCCAGTACCGGAGAGACAGAGAAACCGTGTGTGAATCGCGTTCATGACTAGTGATCATTGCCTGGACCACCGTATGCCAGCATGGTGCAGGCAGCTCACAGAAAGTGTTCAGCTCAGGGGTGCTCAGCTCATGACTGGTGTTCATGACTAGTAATCATTGCCAGGACCACTGCATGCCTGCATGGTGCAGGCAGCTCACAGAAAGTGTTCAGCTCAGGGGGCTATGAGCAGGCTGAAATCCTGCTTACTCTGCACCTTTTTATAATTCATTCTTCCAGATGGGGTGCCTTTTTCAAGTTCACACAAAGGCTCTATATGAGCTACAGGAACCTTTCCTTTTACCCTGTTCTCATAAAAGCCACTTTTCTAGATGAGAAAGGGTAAGTTTAGGGATGGGGGAGGGCAGCTGGGAGCATGGAGCAAGTGACTAAAAGTGTTCTTCCAGTATTCTTTTCTCTTGGGGCATGGTCTCTTCCTCTCCGATTGTGGGAGGAGCCGAGGCAGTAAACTTTGTCCACCTATAATTGTAGAATGTAACAAAGAAGGATAGGACCTAAGAAGAGAAAGTGGTATCTAAAAGGAGAAAAGAAGCATTGAATTGTCACTGGTTCACAGTTCACAGTGCTGAGTGAATTGTCACTCAGCAAATATTAACTTAGTGCTTACTATGTTCCAGGCACAGCACTGGGCATTAGAGTTTTGGTGAGTAAGACAAAGACCATCAGGACACCTACATTCTGGTGTCCATTCTCTGTGTTCCCTTAGGCACATTATTTCCTCACTGTGAAATGAAGTTCTATAATGTCAGCATGGTTCATGTTCTCTCTGAGTTCCAGAATTCTTACCATATGCTTAGGTCTCTGGGAAACTTTGTGAAGGATGTTCTTTCACAGTTAATGGCTTAGGATGACATAGCCCCAGAGTTCTTCTCGTGTGTCTCATTTTAATTTTCTATCTTCTTGTGTATTAAAAAATCAAAGCCATCATTCTAATCTGATTGCCCAATTATTTGCCAAGAAAAACTGTCAGCAGGTAGCTCTACTGAATGTAGGAATCCCCGCATCAACAGACTTAGATAAATAATTCAGCATAGCTGGAGCATAGGATACAGAGCGAGGAAGGACAAGAGTAAACACTGGAGAAGAAGCAAGGGCGAGCCCAGAAAGAAGCACACGAGACAGTGAAGGCATTTCTACTGTGAAATGAGGGCAATGGGGAGAATGTTTTACAGGGAGTAACATGATCAGATTTGCATTTAAGAACAGTGGGTCTAGCTCCAGTGTAGAAAGGAGCACAATTAGAAACAGTGAGATTTCCTCAGGGCCTCTGTCAGCAATTAGGAAGGACATAATGGTGGCTTGAATTAAGGAAGTGAATGACAGTAAGGATCAAGAAAAGGAGATGCATTCAAAAGAGATTTGGGAGATCAAACATATAAGACTTGGAGACTGCTTAAATATGGGAAGACAGGGGGAGGTCAAGAAAGATGGCTTTTGGCCAGGCGCAGTGGCTCACAACTGCAATCCCAGCACTTTGGGAGGCTGAGGCAGGTGTATCATATGACATCAGGAGTTCGAGACCAGCCTGGCCAACATGGTGAAACCCCGTCTCTACTAAAAATACAAAAAAGCTGGATGTGGTGGTACATGTCTATAATTCCAGCTCCTGGGGAGGTTGAGGCAGGAGAATCGCTTGAAGCCAGGAGGCGGAGGATGTAGTGAGCCGAGATCACAGCCTGGGAGACAAAGTGAGACTCTGTCTCAAAAAAAGAGGGCTCCCGAGTTTCCTGGTTTGGGCAACTGAATGGTACCTGTGCCCTGCCATAGGCCAATTGCAGTGGGCTTGAGGGTGAAATCTGGAGAGAGTAATTAAATGGGGCCAGAAAAGATAGAGGAAGGGACCTACATAGACCACTCAGCTCCCCTATTTTGATGCAAACTGCGTGTCCATACCTGGTTGAGCTCAGGACAACACACACCATAGGAACCGAGTAAATGAATGTTGGTGAATTAATTTTATAATGTGATAATCTAAAGTGAACTGTGCTGCTGATGCTTACAAACACTGGGCTCGGCTTGAAGAACCCAGCAGCCTCTAGAAATGTCCTAAGAGAACATCTTGATGAGTAGAAGACATGAAAGCAGGACTGTGAGTAAGTCCTGATGGCATACAAATCCAGCATCCTGTTAAGTTCTGGACTCTCTCAGAGATTGACATACTCCATATAAACATCTGATTCTTATTGACTTTAATGGGATTCCCTTGCAACCCACAGATTCTAAGTTATCCCCTAGTAGTTATAATATTTGTAGGAGATGTATTATTTTACCCTGGATTGGACACTGAATGCTGTTACACTGAATTCTGACAGTAGCAGAACACAAAACAAGATCATCTTGTACTAGAATGCCACTGTTACGTGTTAATTTCTTGTAAGCCTCAGAAAATAGGTATCTATAAGAAAAGAGAATGTTTTAAAATAAAAGGTATTTAATTATAGTCTAAGAAATATCAAACATAATCTTCCTGTGGTATTTGTTTTGTTTTTGTTTAATCTAAGGTCAGAGTATTTTCTTTTGGGGAGGAAGGGATAGTTTTTCCCAGGTCTGGAGATTAAACAACTTAGTAGGCTTTTCACGTTCTGCTCACAAAAAGGGGATTTGCATATGAACTTGTTTCGGCAAGAAAACACATCTGAACGTATTTCATGGGAACTATCTTTATCCACGGCAGCTTCTTTTGACCATCTTCTTCTTTTCTTCCCTTCATCCCTATAGGTCACCGGATTGAAACTGTCTCAGGACCTCGATGATCTTGCCATTCTCTACCTGGCCACAGTTCAAGCCATTGCTGTAAGATACTGTAATGCCATTTTTAAAGAGACTTGGAGCCATCAGTATACCCTAGGCCACCGGCTCCCCAAGATACAGCACATGCTTTTGTGACAGAGATTCTTAATTAAAAGATTGTTTGCAAAAAAGAAATTCTTGTATGTCTGGAAGGAAATGTTGATGAAAGGCCTCACCCGCTTTAACTAATAACCTCATGTAACTAAAAGCTGAAAGGAGTTAAAATCTGTGAAGATTATACTTGTCATTTATCTAATTTGTCTTCTAAATTTAATTAAATAGAAGCAAGCAAGCAGATGCTATGTTTGCTTGCATTAAGAAAGGTTGTTAAGAATGTCTGATTTATAAAATACATTATATTGTTCACTTTGCAAAAGGATTCATGATAGGGGTCCTTTAAATAGGAAGCTTCCTTAGAACATGAAAGTGTTTGTTTTTTGATAAGTAGCTGCTTAACGTGAGGTTAGGATGATTAGGGAGGAAGAGGGGAATTTACATCTAAAATGTTAGGAGTTTCTAAACTAAAGATAAATCAAAATTGGAAATGAAATCCTAAAAGCTTAACCATTGTCTAAGGAATCTTCTTATCTAGAGGTGGCTATGGATGGGCTACAAGAGGTTTCTAATCCTGAAATCACATCCAGAAGGTTATGTGTGCGCATATGTTACAAAGTGCATTTTAGGAGAGTAGATCATGGCCTTCAGGGTCTCACAGCAGGTATGTACCCGAAATTAAGTTAATCCAGTGAGGCTTAGCCACTTCTGAAAAGAGAATAGGAAATAACAGAAAGAAAAAATCAGTTTATCTAATTTTGATTCAAAATTTATTTTTCAGTAACACCTGTTTAAGCAAATATGTTTAATGCTATATGTACATATATGATATTCAATTATTCTGTTTCTTCACACAACTGTTTTCATAACTTTATTCCTTTAAATGATATGTATACTTATTCACACCACCAGCAGAAGTGCTTTTTTAATGCTCAGATTTATCCAGGCACCACGTATGTACAATAAAGAATGGAACTTCCCAAATGGTAATAATACTAATACTGAAGGGATATACCTTCTTTAGTGCAACTGCATAGAAGTATAGAGTCAGTCAACTTGATTAAACAGCCCTTTTAGATTATACACTAGTTTTACTATATCTTCCTGAAGCAATTTTCTTGTTGGTCTAATAGCTTGGCCAATTCAGTGAAATCAGTCAGATGTCTTTATGCATGGAAACTTGGTCAAAAGCACACAATTCTGACAGCTATAAAAATGCAGGAAATGAATAGTAAGATGAAAATAGAGAAAAAAAGTGTGCATCAGTAGTAAAGATAATTATTTAGCTGTCTGGTTTTATAATAATGATAATGATGATTATGATGATAATAATAAATGAATTAAGAGTGTTTTTTGGGTTTTGTTTATTTGTTTGTTTTGTTTTTTTTTTTTGAGACAGAGTCTTGCTCTGTTGCCAGGCTGGAGTGTAGTGGCGCCATCTCGGCTCACTGCAACCTCTGCCTCCTGGGTTCAAGCGATTCTCCTGCCTCAGCCTCCAGAGTAGCTGGGACTACAGGCGTGCGCCACCACACCTAGCTAATTTTTTGTATTTTTAGTAGAGACGGGGTTTCACCATATTGGCCAGGATGATCCCCATCTCTTGACCTCGTGATCTGCCCGTCTCGGCCTCCCAAAGTGCTAGGATTACAGGCATGAACCACCACGCCTGGCCAAGTTAAGAAGTATTTTATATTTGCCAAGCACTGTGCTAGATACATTGCACAAATTATTTGATTTAACCTTATTACGTAGATATTATAATCCCCGTTCCACAGACTGGAAACCTAAGCCTATATGTGATTAATTAACTTGTGCAGGGCCATATAGTTGGTGGCAGAGGTGGGCTTTGAACCCCCAGCATTCTGAAACAAAACTAGACATGTGAAGTACGGTCATCTGCTACATAATGTTTTGGCTAACGAGGGACTTCATATATGACAGTGGTCCTATAAGAGTATAATACTGTATTTTTACTGCACCTTTTCTATGTTTAGGTATGTTCAGATACACAAATATTTATTATTGTGGTACAGTTGCCTACAGTGTTCAGTACAGTAACGTGCTGTATGGGTTTGTAGCCTAGGAACAATAGGCCATACTCTACATAGCCTAGGTATGTAGTAGGCTATACCATCCAGGTTTGTGGAAGTACAGTCTATGATGTTTGCATGACAAAATCGCCTAACCATGCATTTCTCGCAGTGTATTCCCATGGTTAAAGGACACACGACTGTACTGAGGAGCTTTTGTTTTCTGATTTGTTAATATTATTGTATAAAAGAGTCCCATAGTGGAATGAATAGTTTATATTGAAATGAATAATCTTGGAAAATCAGAATGGTGTGATACTCCCCCTTTTGAGCACATGCTAAGGGGAGGACATGAAGGATGAGGCCAAACAGGATGGACCAAGGGGCACCATCACATAGTGGTAATGATAGTTACCTTTCGTCAGACACGACTGTGTGCCAGGCACCAAACAGAGTACCTTGCCTACTGGTAGCTTAACATTGTAACCCTGTAAGTAGATGAGTTTGTTCTCCTTTTACAGACAAAGGGAGGACCATTTGCCAAGGTCAAACGGCTACTGGGTGGTAGTTGGAATCTGAACCTTTCTCCATCTCACACCCAGGCTCCTGCTCTTTCCACTTTACCATGCTGCATTTTCGTTTGATCTGTTTGTAAAAGCTACATGGGTGAAATAAGCTTTCAGATATTCCTAAGAATCGTTTTTACTTAACATATATTAGAAAATACCATTAATTTGGCCAGGATTGTCTCACAGAGGTCCCTTTCCTGGTAAGAGTACTGCAGCAGAAGTCCAGAAATGTATAAATGAGGTTAAACTTAATGCAGGCAGGAGAGGGGAAGAAAAAAAGCCAGCTACATTTTCTCAAGTACCACACACTTGGAAAATCAATCTTGTATTTAATGGGCCGTACATGTATTAAAAGCTATCATATTTATTCTGTCCATTGTCTTAATGACCTTTATAATACCATGAAAGGAAGGCATTTTAAGACAGAGATTTTTCTCGATACGGCTTTTTTGTGGAGTCAAGTGAATTGTGAGGGTTTCAGTCTGTTTTGCAAATGTATCTGAGTGTGCTGATCTTTTAGGCAAAAAAAATGTGCATTTTAATGAGGTATTCTGATAACAGATATTTTCCCATCATGTTCAACTTCGGAAAAAATATTTTGTTTCATTAGCCCTGAATATTGCCAGAGCACGTATTTGTTGTCGGTCATCTGAAAGTTAAGCAAATTTCTCTCTATATGTAGTCATATCTTTGGGTGCTATTTTGTTGGGATGAAATGAAATTAAAGAGGATTGTAATCAAGTTAACTTGGGACTGTGCAAAACCCTCCATGAAGTAAAATTCTCTCTTGATCATGCTTAATTGAAAGACCTGTCAACCACGCAGTTTATCCATAGCCTGTTCATCTATAGTTTTCTTTGCAGAACAGACCCTTAAAAGGTACTATTTGCATTTGAAGTCTCTTGATTTGCATTCGGTTCTGTACATTCCCAGTGGAATAGCCTAATTTTAATTTAAATTTCTCTGTGAAAACATTTTTTCCAGAAAGGTGAGCACAAAATCATTTTCACACAAAGCCCTTTGGTGGGACATTTCAGTAGGGTGGAGTATTACACAGATTGGAGTCTGGGACACCGAAAGGGAAGGTCCTTTAAGGAACCGCCAGACTGAGTGGGAAATTCCAGCCGACAATACCACATAGGGGAGAGACAGGCTATCTGTCACAGCCCCTCTCGAGGGAGTGCCTCTTACTTGGATCATTTCTTTCCTTTTCCCAGGAAATGTGCTTTGTTTTATTCTTGTCTCAGGCCTGCTAATCGCGTGCCCCTAAGTCCCTGGTTTTAGAAATATCAAAGATACCAGTTTTGCCTGACATTTCCATACAAATTAGGAGACAGCTATTCTCCCATCCCATACAGACTGTATTGCTTAGTCAAATTATATATCTCCTAAGTGGGAATAACAATATGCAGGTTTCACATTTGCCTTAAGATTAGAGATGCTATTAAAGTGCATAGCAGAGTGCCTAGCATGTAGCTGATAACCAGAAGAACTCTCCTTGTTCACCTTTCGTGAACTGGACACTCTTCTACAAGTTTTACCTTCGCTGCCTACAGCAGCAGCCTTATATGGTAGGTATTATTAGATTTCATCAAGCCTAATACCACATTTTTAATTTTTTTGCATGTTGACATTTCTGACAATCTATAGAATTTTTAACTAAGTGAATATGATACTATTATTCCCATGGCAAAAAAAAAAAAAAATGGCAATTGAGTTATAGAAAGGTTAAGGTATAAGAAATATGTGAAATGCCTAAATGCCAGCCTGGGTTTTTTGAATTCAAAACTCATGCTCTTAGCTACTACAGATTCATGCCGTTAGAGCAGACTGGGGTTGCCCGGAATCCACAGGCATCAAATGATCCATGGTGGACTTCAGGCATCTGTAGACCTCCTGAAATTATTTATAGTACTATTTTGTATGTGACTTTTTTTTTCTGGGGAGGTCAATAGGTTTTGGCATATTCTCAAGGGGATTCATGACCCCCCAAAAAGCTTAACAAAGAACATCTGGGAATGATCAGCCCTAGTTAGTATGTAGGATCTGGCCTTATATGGCACAACATGTTTGAATTTTTCTAAACACACTACATCTGTGGATTGTTTTTGGAGGCCCAGGTTTTACCTAATCCATATTTTTACCAGATTCATGAATAGCTTCAACAAACCCTAAAGACCTCTGGGCTAGAACTGCTGTGTCTTTTGCTCCTGAACTGCCCCTGTCCCTCATGATTTATGCCAAAGCAATTAGCATTTCATGTCCTATGGTTCCCAGATCACCCTCTGACCACTCCTGTTCCCAGGTTCCCCCATCCCCTGGGGTGACAGCTCCCTAGACAGCCTTGTCAAAGCAGGCTTCATTTACCCTTTACTCCCCACCCCCACAGGATGTGAGGTCAGGGCAGCATCCTGCTGACTTCCAAAACCCTATTCCTCACCTTGGCTAAACTCACTACATTCCTAGGTTTCAACCTGAACAATACTGTCACACTTTCACTAAAAAACAAGATATTGGCTCATGCCTTCTTCTTGGTGGCTATGCCATCTGTAGAGACACACTGGCCTCCCAGATCCTTGACTTTCTTATCTCTTCTGACTTCTCTTCCCTCCCCTTTAGCAATTCACTCCCAGGTCTACACCTAGGACTTTGACATCTCCCCAAATTGCTCAATCTCTAAACATTTCAAAGACTCGCTACCCACCAAAAAATCCTCTTCCTCTATTCTTTCTGGAGCTCCTTTCTCAGGCATCATCATGTGGCTGCCCCCTTAAGGCCACATCACAGTTCATCTTCTTGTTTTTAGTCCTCATCCCAAATACATTTTGATTTTTGAACTCTAGTTTTTGAACTTTCAAGTAAATTAAGATTTTTCAGATGTTCAACTATCTTATCTAAAACTGAAGAATTCTACATTAAGATTCACTTCCATAACTCTAAGGCAATGTTCTCTTCTCAAACAATAATGGTTTTTACTGAGTTTAATGAACTTAGAAAGACAGGGATGAGGATAATGTGCTTTAGGAAGATATTAACACATAAGGACTGAGACACAAGGCTGAATTGAAAATATGGTGAAGCCCTGAAACAACCTGGGAATGGATTTGGCTCAGAAGCCTCCTTTTAGAGAACCACTACCTGGTTTCAGGTAATAGCAAAGGTAATTTTAGCCCGCAGCCACCCTGAAGCCTTGGATATCACCTTCTTTATGCAATTAGAGGCTTCTTTCCATGATTCTGCTGCTGGATTTTTTGGTGCTTTTCTTAAGGAAAAAGCCTTTAGTTCCCTTTTAGTAAAGGAAGACTGACCAAGATACCATTGACTCTGTTTTAGAGTAGTATTGCAATCACTCCTAATACAGGGCCTGGGCTATAGTAGACACTCATTAAATATCTGTTTGAATGAACTATGTTACCATTAACTGTGTTGACATTGTCAACTGTTTTTGTCAGTGTTGTGTAACTACTGATAGAAGCAAATGGTGTAATTAAGAGGGTTTTGGAATCAGTCAGGCCCAAGTTGAAATTCCCACTCTATGATGTAATTCATGGTGTGATCATAGACAACATAGTCTCTGTGAGTGTCAGCTTTCTGAGATAGTGTATGTAAAGCTCTTAGTACAGTGTCTAGCACTCAGTAAACATTTAAGAAGTGTTCCCTAGTGTTTACTTATGCAACTATACTGATGCTATCTTCTGCTTCTCCTTTCAAGTTGGGGACTCGCTTCATTATAGAAGCCATGGAGGCAGCAGGGCACTCGATCAGTACTCTTTTCCTGTGTGGAGGCCTCAGCAAGAATCCCCTTTTTGTGCAAATGCATGCGGACATTACTGGTAAGTCTGGGAAGGAGGAGACAAGGTCATTTTTGGCTTGGCAGCAAATGGGCATGGCCCAGTTCTGGGTGAGGTGAGATTAGGAGGATATATGTGGTATGCTAGATTATTAAAATAACCCTGAAGTCTTTATATTCAGGATGGAGAAAGTGACTTCTATGTATATCCAACCATTGAATAATGGTGAGAAATAACACAAGAGAAGTTGGCCAGGACTAGATCTTAATTCAAGCGTTTACACAACAGTTTTGAGTACCTCTTCTGATCCACATATTGTGGAGGATATTGAAGATATGAACATGAATAAGGCATGATTCTTGCTCCCCACCACCCAGGAACTCAGAGTCTATTGAGGAAGGGAAACAGCAAACAGGCATATTAAAGGTAGTGTGGCAAAAGCTCAGAGTGAGAAAAGTACAAGGTATCATGGAAACATAGTGAGGCACCTCGTCTGGTTTGGGACCTAATGGCAGCTCAGGGCATGTGGTCTGGAAGAAGTGATAAGAAAGCTGTCTTGAAGAAAGAATGCAGAGGCTGGATGCTGTAGGATCTGTGGGTCTGGTTGCAGACTGAATTTGAGCCCTAAGACCCTGCAATCCTGTGATTCCTTCTCAGCTCATCAGAATCAGGGATCATGATAGAGGTGCAGGGAATCACAAATAATGGGCTGAGCTCTTTCTGATAGCAGCAGACAGTGGAGGAGAAGGATCCTTATCAGAGTCCCTAGAACCCAAGGAAGGGGCCCCATTGGCAGGAGGCTTTCTCCAGGAGGTCCTCCAGGAGGACGAGGAGGCATCAGGTCCAGAGAGACAGAGGTCCAGGCCCCTTTTACTCCTTGCCCCTCTGGTGTCTCCTGGGGACTGGTGTTCTCTCCCAGGACCCATCCCTGGGTGGACAGGTACCACCAGGGCAGGGCAAGATGAGGGAAAGTAGGAGAGGATTGTACCCATCCCATAGTCCCAACTGCAGCCTGATAAGAGCCCACTTGATCCTACCTACATTTATCATGATCCTTTCTTATCTGTCATCCCCTACTTTCTTACCTCTGACTTCTGAGCAGGTCAAAGTCCCTGCCCCATTATATCCTTGTTCCCCCTCCAAGCCACACAGATTCCTGCACATGAGAGCCTTGTCTAACACGATGGATGTAACTGATCTCTGCACATCATGAGATGAAACTAAGTAAGTCATTTATTCCCAGCCTAGAGATAAGCAGACTGAGGCACAAGTCTGAGGACAGTAAGAAAAGCATACGGTCTAAGGGCAGAACTATTGGGATGTGAAATATAGAAAGTATTACCATTAACCAAGCCCCTACTATGTGTCAGTGTGAATCACGCTGTGGACACTTAATCCTCCCATGCCACCAAAGGGTAGAAATTGGTGCCCCCATCTTACAGACAAGGAAGCTGATTGGTGGGTAAGTGAATTAAATCGGCTATCTAAAGTCAAACAGGCAGTACGGGGCAGGACCAATATTGTAACCGTGGTGTGTCTGGGCCCACTGTCCCTTTATATTGTACTGCTGACCCAGGTTTCTCGACTTTTCTGCCAAGTTTATAACCGTTTGATGATGACCCCTCTTTCCTGAGGTGTCCAAATCCCTACAGAAGTGGGCCCTTCAAAGCAGAAGGAGGAAAGACATAAAAAGAGCCCAGATTGCCTTATAATTGCCCTCAGGAGAAAAACCGTAACATTTTATCTAAAAATCAGTTGACTGGTTCAGATAACTTTCAAGTTTAAAATTTCATCTGTGACATTCCAATTTCTAGCCTTCTTTTTTTTTTTTTTTTTTTTGTATTTTTTGGTAGAGACAGGGTTTCACCATGTTGGCCAGCCTGGTCTTGAACTCCTGACCTCAAGTGATCCACCCGCCTTGGCCTCCCAAAGTGCTGGGATTACAGGCATGAGCTACCGCACCCAGCCCCAATTTTCAGCCTTCTGATAGCCAAAAAGCTTCCTATCTGGATGCAAGAGGAAAGATGAAAATCAGCTTTGGACAACACAGTACTCTAGAAAATGGGAAACAGGGCCTCCCAGAGCAGAACAGCTAGCTGTGAGTGACCCCGGTACTGAGTCGGCACTGCAGCCCTGGACTTTGTGAAAATGGGTCATCTTCCAGGTCCTACATCACTGGGCTGACTCAGAAGCACGGGCAGGGGTGGGGGGGAGTGCAGCAGCTTCACAGAAAGTTCTGCTTTGGAAACTGTTCTCCTCTAGGCTGTTGAATGAAAAGGCTGTTAATCGTTATTTGGATTCCGATTGAAACTGGACCTTTTGTCTCTAACTATGGACCAGTTACAGTTCCAGACAAAGGGACCTTTTCTTTAGCCTGGAATTCCTCTGCCTTTGGGAGCCTGTGACTGACAAGTGATGGCAAAGTGCATCTGCCTTTGAATGCTTTGGGTTCTGCTAAACTCATTAATGCATCAGATAAAATAGTTCACATTCCAGCCAAAGCCGCCCTCTTCCTCTCCTTCACCCAGCACTCAGAGAAAAGAACACATTTGCATTTGTCCCTGTAAAAGGCACGTACACAAGCAGCCAGTATAGAGGTAGTGTCATTGGTGCCTTTAAACATTGTATTGCTCTAGTTTTCCTACAGAGACAGAGTTAGGGAGGACTGTTGACCTGGAACATGATTCTCAGAAATGCATGTGAAAAACACATTGGAATTTGGGAGATTTTTTTGGAGATAGCGTGGAACAGTGGCAGAAGCAGGAGATCAGCTCTGTGACTTTGGGCAAGTTACTTTACCTCTCTGAGTCTCAGTTCCCTCTTCTGAAACAAACAAACAAACAAAATTTTCATCTCCCTCATGTAGATCACTGCTGAGGAATAAATGCTCGCAAGTTTGTGAGCATCAAACTCTGTGCCTAGACCAAGTAGGTGATCAGTAAATGTTAGTTCTCTTGTTCCATCTAGGAAGCCCCATGCCAAAAAGAAATTTGAGGGGGAAAAAAAAGCAATTTATTATTTTGAAAGTGAATCTTTGCCATGTTGAGAACAGCCTGCCCTGTACAAGCAGGGAGAGCAGGGCTTTGCCAGCTTGGGAAATGTTGTCTACATGAGGAGGAAGAACCTCCTTGTACCCCGGTCATTTGGTTAACTGTGGTTTCAAGAAATACTTGGTATGTACTAAGTAATTGTAAGTTTGCCCCACTGACTTGGGACTAAATGTTCCTTCTTCTAAGTTTTATTTTTTAGTACTGGTAGTTTCAGTAGGGGGTTCCCTCTTCTGGTCTTACTCATTATTTTAATTATTTGTTCTTTTATTTATTCACTCAAAAGCATTCTCTGAGCACACCAGTGCACCAAGCCCTGAGGTTGGCACAGGGATGCTAAGAAGAACAGTCATGTCCATCCAAGAGGTTCTTTATAAAACACAGAAAAAGTGCCCTTGGTCTTATGACCAATATCCAGAGTGAGTAGAGTGGGGACCCAGAGGATAAGATGTGTCAGTGTCAGTCAGGTCCAGGCAGAGAACAGATACACCCTCCAATTAGGTTAACTGGAGGGAAGTTGAATAAAGAGTCAGTGTACAGAACTGTGGGCAGGGTGCTGGAAGCCCAGACAACCAAGAAGTACCTTGGGATACTAACAGCGTTTCCACCCCTGGGCTTGCAAGGGTGAGGGTAGGGAGCAGGCAATCTGAGCCTGGTGGGATGTGTGAAGAGGGCCGCCCAGCAGAAGCTTAGTCAAGGATGTACCCAGAGGGCAGGGGCCCGCAGCTCTGATCCCCACTGGCCAGTCTCCCAGGCACAGAGTAGGTGGAGGGAGGAAGGGAAGAGGTCGGATTGGTCTTAGAGGCAAATGGAAGCAGTGGGTTGATTTCACCCTGGGTAACAGGTGTGAGGAGAGACTTCAGAAGTAAGGTAAACTTTAAGAATAACAACTAATGCTAATTTAGTGCTTTCTCTAAGCCAGGCACCGTTTCAAGAGCCTTATTATAATAACAATTTTAGTTCTCACAGCAACTCTGAAATAGGTGGAATTTTAACCCCATTTTTCAGATGAGAAAGCTGAGGCACAGAAAGGTTAGGTAACTTGCCTAGGATCACACACCTAAGTCAGTGGGGAAGCCAGGATTCAAACTCTGGCAGTCTGGGTTCAGAACACTTTGGGCAGCAACTTGAGAGCTGACAGGGGATTCACCAGGTTCACTTAGGTCTCTGGTTCGCAAGGGGAGGGGCCTGTGAGTAGTTCCTCCCTGCTCACAACTCGAGGAGCTTTTGGCAGGGTAGGAAGGCCTGGGAAGTAAATGGTGTTTGGAGGCACTGTCTTCAAAAACTCCCCAGGTCCATAGGGTAGGCTGGGTGGTCACAGTCACACACCCATCTGTACCATTCCTCGGATTCTTCAAAGGCTTGTAGCGCTCTCTCCTGCTGGGGTCAGCACAGCCCTTCAGTGTGGCCTGGCATCTGTCCTTCCCCTCTGGATGGTTGATGGGAACCTTTACTGTCCCTTCTCTACTTACCCAGTTTTTAGCCCAGGTCTAGTACATGCAGAGAGGCTTCACTTGCCGTCCACCTGAATTGTAACAGTAGCAGCCATCATTTCTCCATAGCTTACTGTAGGCCAGGAAATGTGCTAAGCACCAACTATGTGCCCTCTCATTAAGCCTCACAACACACCTGTGTGGTACATCTTATGATCATTCCCATTTTGCATTTGGGGAAACCAAGGCTAAAAGAGTGTAAGTGACTTGCTGGACACAGAGCTAGTGGAACCAGGAAACAAACTCAGGTCTGAGCTTCTCCCAGCATTCCCACCCGACACCACGCTGGCAGTGCCTTAAGCCCCGGCCCAGATGAGGGCTGGTATTTCTAAATTCTCTGGGGTGTCTGTGGGAATTTGGTCCCCTGCCCTCTTTCTCTGGGTAGCTGGAGAAAAGAACTGGGTGGGGAGGTAATGGGATGTAGAGAGAGTGCCTCAGGAAAATCTCAGACAAGATAGGAAAAGAAATTTAAGCTTTGGGAAAATAACTCTTATGGCTTGACTACAAGAAGGTTTTACACCACAAGGGTACCTCTGTAAAGTTTGCTGCCATTCCGGATTAGCAGACCAATCTATACATTATAGACCTAAGAATCCTAAATTATTTCTATTAATCTTAAACCTACCATGAACCCTCAACCTCTGGGCGTTAGCATACGGAGGGCTCCTCCCTGCCTGGTGGACCCCTGCTCACCCTTCAGATGCCTGTTTAAGCCTCGTCTCCACTGTGATCTGTGATGACCACTACCCTAGAAATGTGTTCCCTCATCATTCAGTCACTCACCGTGTGCTAGATACTGGTCTAATGCCAGGGATTCAGCAGTAGACAAAACAGGGTCCCTCCCCTCATGTAGCTTAAGTTCTTGCAGGGGAGACAGACATTAAACAAGTAAGTAAAATACAATGTTGGAATGAAGCAAAATACAATGTTGGGATGAAGCAGTTAAGGGGGTAAGAAATATTGAGGGAAGTTGTAATTTTAAATCTGATGGCCAGGGAATGCTCAGTAGGAAGGTGATGTTTGCAGAAACACTTGAAGGAGGGGCCGGCAATTAGCATGTGGGCATCAAGGAGGAAGTGTTCCAGACAGGGAACAGCATGGGTAAGGGCCCCGAAGCACACTCAGGAAGCAGCAAGGAGGCCAGGACTATGTGGCTGGAAGGAGAGAAGGAGGATATCAGAGGGGGAGAAGTGGGGCCAGATCTGGGAGGGAGGGCCCCTTGTCAGCCACTGTAAGGACGGTGGCATGTACCCTGAGAGAGGGGAGAAGCCCCTGGAGGGATGAATCATACCCTGTCTTGCTACCTCCTTCCCTTAGCACATCTCAGTTAAAGAACCAACCCCCTGGTTGGAGAGAGACTAGCCTTCCTCTCTCTCATCCATCTCTTTCTGAAACCTGAATAGCAGGGCACAGTGCGATTCATCTCAGTATTCCCTAGGCCAGCAAAGCACTTAATAAATATCTCTGGATCTGAACTTGAATCAAATGGCAGGTAGCAGCTTGCAGAAGCCTGAAAAACCTGGGCACTGAGGTCTCATGAGTTGATATATATGGTGTTGGCTCCCTTGGGCCCTTGGCTACTGCACCAGCAGGCACAGGCAGTGAAATCTTTTAGAACCAAATAATCCCAAGGAACAAGGAAGGGAGGACTGTGGGGAGTCGGGAGGGGGGCTGCTGCTGCCTGATGTCAGGTGTTTTTGCCACTGTAGCTGCTTGCTGGCTCCTCATACTCCCCTGGCTCTGCTCCCTAACCGAGGTGTGGCCTTGTCCTGCGCAGGCATGCCTGTGGTCCTGTCGCAAGAGGTGGAGTCTGTTCTTGTGGGTGCTGCTATTCTGGGTGCCTGTGCCTCGGGGGATTTCGCTTCTGTACAGGTATGTGAAGACCAGGGGGTGGGCTGTGGCTCCTCCCCTGTCTGAGGCCAACCTTCCTCTTGACAGCAGCTCGCATTTTACAAAACACACACAGGATATAATTAAGAAATGATAGGTTCCAGCCAGGGAAAGCACAAACACTTCTAGCCTCAGACATATTTATTGCAGTTTTCATTTGACTTGGCCTCAGTTCGTGTTGGTCGTTCTGTTTTTCAGTTGTTTTTGTTTTTTATTTCTTCTTTAAAATACCTTTTAAATTATTCCTTTTAAATTTCCCCTTGACCACTTTTCTTTGAGCACATGAAACAGGTAAGCCTCAAAACCTCAGTTTTTCGTGTGTATTTCAGATTTTTAAAAGCTTATGGCAATCCCACCATTTTCCAAATACCTTTAAGGCCTCTGTCAACAAGAGATACAAATGACAATGTTAGTATTAAATAAAAAAGGAATTAAAAGGGAAAATAAGGAACAAAGATATAGGAAGAAGGAAACAATTTGGTGGCTGTGATTAAACACATAATTTGGCTCTGAGCTTCCTGGCAGCCAAGACAAAAAAGAACACATGATAAATTGCATAATTCTTATTTTCAAAAAGAGGAAACGTACTAGTTTCTGGTGAGAGGCAGAACTTTCCCTCCTACCAAATTGCGAAAGACTTTGCACACATGGGGCTTTGTGGAGAGGTTCTGAGTGCTGAAATAATACAACAAGATAAAGAACGAATGTGATGTGGAGGCTAGGAGTGTACAGGCTCTGGCATTAGACCACCTGGGCTCAAATCCTGGCTTGACTACCTGCCAGCTCTTGTGGCCTAAACACTCTTCTCTGTACCTCCACTTCTTTATCTGTAATAGTAATTAACAGTACATCGTGAGTTCTTTCTGTGTATCAAGCATGCTCATTTAGTCCCTGCAACAACTCTATTATCACCATTTTATGGTTGAGGAACCTGAGGCATAAAGACGTTAAATAACTTAGCCTAAATGAAACGGCTGGTAAATGCCAGAATCAAGAAGTCTAGCTCCCACTTCTCAACTGAACGTTCAAGAGATATTTGTTCAGCTAAGCAGCAGAGTGTCCAAATGACTTGCTCATGGTCTCAACAGCCAGGTAGCTAGTAGCTCCGTAATTAGAGTTTCATTTATTGTGAACCTCTTAATGTGCCAGACACTGTGCTAGGTGCTTTTTGTATAATCTTCCTAATACCTATAACAATGCTTCATGAACCACAGAGATTGGGCAATAGAGATCCAGAAAGCTTACAAAACTTAAGGGTACACTGTTAGGGACAGACAGATTTAAAACTGTGATGTTGTTTGTACTGCATTTTGGAAAATGTGGTACACTACACACTATCCAAGCCTCTGAAACTAATGACTGTGAAATCTCCCTCACAAGGAATTAAATCCACTCATGAATTCTTGTGGGTTCTCAGTGAATCTTTAAACAAAGATGGTATAGTTTAATTCTTGACTTTTTCTGGATAGTCTCGTCCTGTCTCAAAAATAGCACATGGAGATATTTGTTGTCGAAATATCAGTAAATGGTCAATTATTATTTTAGTGTATCAGTGTAGGAGATGTTCTCACAATTAGGTATCTTGCCCTTCCTGTGACAAACTATAAAAGTTAAAATGGGAGGGATACTTACTAAGGTTCTGCAGAGGTTACCCTGTGTTGTGAACTGAGTATTTGTATTCCTGCAAAATCTGCCCTGACCCTCAATGTGATGGTATATGGAGGTGGGTCTTTGGGAGATAATTAGGGTTAGAGGAAATCATGAAGGCAGGAGCCTAGTCTCATGGGTTATGAAGGTCTGATGGGCCCTTATACAAAGACACCAGAGAGCTTCCTTATTCTCTCTGCCATGTGAAGACACAGCAAGAAGTCCATTTCTACAAGCCAGAAGAGGGCTCACACTAGACCCTGACCTTGCTGGCACCCTGATCTCAGACTTTGAGCCTCCAGAACTGTGAGAACACAGATTTCTGTTGTTTAAGTACCCAGTCTATGGCATTTCGTTATAGTAGCCTGAGATAAGACACCTCATTTAATCTTGACAGTCATCCTGCTTGCAGGATGCATGCTTTTATCCTTCCGTGATAGGAAACCAAGTTTCAGAGATGTTTGAAGTAATTTGTCCAAGGCTACACAGAAAGGGTAGAAGCAGAATTGAAATGAAGGTCTCTCTGGGTCTATATCTTATCCTGATTGTCATTCTTTTTCTAATGTGTTCGATTGTTTTTTCTTTAAAAATATTTTCTGACTTCTTAAGTGTTCAGTGGTGTATTTTCTGAAAAGAAATGCCATAGATCACAAATCAGGAGATAGTCTGTAGCTCAAACAGGGAATAGCATGTCAAGATGAGGCTGCTATACCAGGTGCTTCATACCATGACTTATGGCTTCATTAATATCTTATTCAAAACTGGGATCTCCAGCTCTAAAGGAATTCCATTTACATCTTCCCCTAACTGGAAGCTGAGCTTAACTCCACACTGACATCTTGGCTACATGAGATTTGCTGTTAGTCTTCTGGAACAGAATCTAAGATATGGTAGATCAGATTTGGAACTGATGACTTGAGTAGCAGCTGCAAGGCTCACAGCGTTGTAAAGACAAGCTCATGTCTCCTATTCAACCCAAGGATGAGTGTGCCTGTCCTGATCGTTTTCAGGAGACACAATCTAGTAAAGGGAGCCCCCAGCTGAGAGAGGCCTGAGGTTTTATCTGTCGTCACTTACCTGACAGAATCCCCATAGTCTGGAGTTCTGTGCTTGCTTTACTATCCTCAGACAATGTCATTTGTTCTCTCTGGGTACTTGTTTTATTTGTCTGTTTTATGTATTTTTTTTTTTAATGTTTAAATAAGAATTGCCACCCATATGGGACTATTGAGATAAAGAGCCTTTGAAGGTTCCAGTGACCTCTCAGGTGTAATCAATGTCATTAGAATGATAAAATGTTTGGAACTGCTTTGAAAATGAAAATGTATGTAGACTTAGCATCATTTGCTCCACTCCAAAGAAGAGGGGCTGACCTTTGTGCCTCAGGTCTGGGGACCAGCTCCAGATTCTGGCAAGGTCAGGCAAAACTGAATTGCTTTCTTTCTGTGATTCATATTTTCAACCTGAACTTCAACACAGTCTTTTCTTTGAACTTCAGAGACCCTGGCTTGGTTTGCAGGGTGCCTGCCTTTCCTTTCTTCAGAAAGTTGAGCAATTCCTGCCAGCACCTCAACTATTCCAGCAAGTCAGATGTTTTGTCTTCTCATGGACCACACATCTGGTGGTTAGATGGAGGATTTCACTTCTTATCTAGATAGGCAAATTTTGGTAGACTCAGCCAGAGTCACCTCCTTCAGATGCTGGGAAGGCTGGGGAGAATCCAGAGGACCCAGACAATAGAGGTAGGGAAAAGTTTTATATGCTTGAGGAGACAAGGTTTCCGAATTTCATAGGCCCCTGAATGGATGATTTTCAGACAGGGGTGGAGTCCTATACCTTTTTTGGGTGATATCAATGGATCCACAGCTGTAGATTTTGCTTGTAGCTATTGTAGACTCTATGTATGTCAATTCTGGGAGAATTTTATCAGGGAAAGGGAGACTGGATGGAATTTTCTGGTGAGGCCTTAATGAAAGATTGGCCAACAACAAGATCTATTGATATTGCAAATTTTGAAACATGATGACAATTCCTAGCTTCCTTGTTCTGTTCTTTTATCCATTCAGATTCTCCTTCTCTTAGTTTGTCTCTGTCTCTCTTCCCCTGTCCTTTCCTGCTTTCTCTCCCTTTAGACATCTAAAGTCTTCTTACTATTTCTTTGTCAAATTCGGATCTCACAAAGGAGACTGATACACCCATTCGTTCATTCTAAAGAACACAATGACTAATGCTATCTTAAAGAGCTGTCCCTCTTTAGAAAGGGTGTTTTCCTTTTAGTAGTTTTCAAAACTGTGTCTTTACTGAAGAGTACAATCTCCTTGAGGACAAATATTCTCGAAGGCAAATCATGATCACCTTTATATCTGCAGTGTAATGAATAATATGGAATCAAGCCACAGATATGCTGCTCTTACGGTAAAAGTTTAGCTACTGAATAGGTGGGAGGGGACACAAAGAAGGCAGTCCACTTCCCCTCCCTTTACCCTTAGGAATGTGGAATCCCTGTAGTCTTGACCTCTGTGACCTTTCTACTTGATCCCTCCCCCATCATCAGTAGAGTACAAAATGATCCTCTATAATTCTGAATATCTTGGAAAACAAATAATTATAATTAGAAGCTGAGAGTGTTCCATAACACTTCTCTAGGCTCCCAGGTCCTGGAAAATCAACAAACTGGAAAAAAACTAAGTTTATGAAATATCACTATGCTTACACTTTCTAAACACAGACAGTTAAAAGATTCTAAGAAATACAAGGACAAATAAATAAAACAAGAAGCAGTTTCAAGTCATTGTGAGAGAAAACCCAATCAAATGGCAAAGAGACAGCAACATGAAATGACCCTCCACTTTCTGTTTCCTTTAGGCCCCCTGCAGATGTCATTAACTTTCTGTAATTTCTTATCTTCAGGGGCAGTTTTTATTCAAGTCTTTTTATACAAAACAAGCTTTAATTCCAGCAGTGCTATTTGTCTTGAACCACTACCCCTCACCCTTGAAAAGAAGGAGTGGAGGAAGCATCTGAAGCAAAAATCAGTAAAAGGAGACAGTGACAAGAGATCAAAATGCATTCAGCAGTCAGTTTAAGGGGAGTACCAGTGTAAAGAAAATAAGCCCTTGGAATCAGCCAATTAATTACAGACCTTCCTTCCTCCCACTGTGTGAGCGTTGCCACCCCTGTAAATCACTGACTCCATGTACTCCCACCATCAACTTTCCCTGTCACGTTCCAGACAGACTCCTGTGTCTTCAAGACCAATACATATAAGTGGCCAGTTGAGAGCTGTGATTACTCACCCTTTCTGTAATGTGTGCCCACAAGATAAACCATCCATG